GAAACAAGATACCCCAAAACTAGAAAGGATTAAAAAAGAAAGAAGATAAAGAGAAAAAAAAAAAACACATCTGTCCTGTTGATGATTAAACTGTGGTCCGCAATGTTGAAAATTGAAATGTCTGAGAATGAGTTTTCACTATTAAAAGAAGAGGTCTCATTTTAACATCCCAAAAATAGGGTTAAAATAATACTATTTGGTAATAGTGGTGTTATAATGGCAGTATAATGACAGGCGGAGAAGCTTTTTGATTGACTGGGCAGAGAGAAAGGATAGGACCAATGAGGGTTTATGGGAAGGGAGGGGGAGACAATGGCAGAATTAGGGCTTCAGAATTTGATCCCTACAATCCCCACCACCTCCTCCCACTACTTACTGCCATTCTTCCTCTCTTTTCGAGGCCCCCCCGCGCGATGGTGGGGACAGAGGACTCTCGCTTTACAAATTTATTAACCTGCCTCGTTTCTTGCGCCTTTGAATTCACCGATCACCGGAATATTCTCCCCGGTTGGACCTTCATCGGGCGTTCCGCCGCCCCGTCGTCACGACAGTTTGTCTAATACTCCCTCCAATATCCGATCTCCATTCTTTTGTTTCCTTTTCCTAAATTAAGTTTCATTAATTTCTGCAAGGTAGAGGAGCAAATAACTGTCAGTTTTCTGACTCCAATGCGATTTTTGTCCAAATTTTGTTAGATTATCCTTAAAAATAGAGTATTAATGGCAACTAGTATTTGTTTTAATGAGATAGATTTAAGATATTCTAATAATTTTTTATTTACACTATTTAAGAATTTCTCAATAGTAATAGTTATTTTAGAATAGAATGAATATTTCTTGTCCAGACGGTTTTTTTTTTTTAGGTAGAGCTAATAGTTCTTGAATATTTACTAAAAATGAGGAGTGTCATTGTCTTTTCTACTCGGATTAGTTTTGGAGTTGGTATAAAATAATTATTATTTACATTACAGTTTGTAGATTACAATGAGGTGGAGGGAGTACAATTTATGTCATACTGTCTCAATTCTCATAAAAATATTTTATCTTGTGAATTGTACTATTATTTTTTATAAGACGAAAGGAATTTTATATAGGTAATTAAAAAGATTACTAAGTCTTTGAAATAATTTTTTTATAGTTTAGCTCATCATTGCAAAGTTTAATTAGCTATAGGAAAACCTAAAGAACGTTTCATAGCGACAATGTATGAATGAAGATGGATAGGGTAGACTGCCATATTTTCAAAAGTTACACCGCCCCCCTCACATTTCAATTCTCATCATTTACCCCATTACTCTTCTTCTCAAGACGGCAAATTATATTGGCTTCATCTCACTTCTTTTTTCAATAAAAATAAAATAAAATAAATCATTGATGCATATTCTTTTGGGAATTATATATAATTTGTTTTCATATAAGAGGTTGAGCTTCATCTGAATTTCTGATTGAATAATGTCATAATTTTTAACAATGATGAGATAATCTAATTGAGATCAAGACTTTTCCTCTCGTAGAAATAATAAAAACCCTAAGGTATAGTTGTTATAATTACCAGTAGTAGAGGTTTTATGAAACTATAACAAGCCATGTTAACAACAATGATTTATTCGATCGGCAGCTTGTTAATTTGGCATTCATGATATGAATAAAATTTTCTATTTTCTTCTTCTTCTTTTTTGGTTTCTTTTGAAGTATATCTCTTTTATAATACGAGAACAAAAATCATATTCCTTCTATCTCAAAATAAGAAATTTGTTTTTTGTGTTGATATAATTTGACGTCTGAAATTTTATTGTTGGAGGGATTTCAATATAAAATCTATGGATGTCATATCATATGAGGAATGCGAATCATCTTATTTTTCTTAGTTAAAAAACTGAAAAAAAAAAGAAAGAAGTGAGTTCAAATATACTTCCAAAAAAAGAAAAAAGTCACTGCAAGTCGATAATAAATTCACACAATTTACCTTAGGGAGAGTAGGTCACGATTGAGATTTGAGGTTATGACTTTTAGGAAAGACTAGCCGAATTGAACTTTTTGTATTTATTAGTGTTGGGACATTTTGGGTAGGGAGTAATAATAAAGTTATGGACAGCCTAATTATTTGTACTGCCCCCACTACAAATACTACTTGTTATTCTTTTACAGGCTTAATTTCTACATTTGAGACAATTTTTATGTAATATTCTTGGAAGTCAAATGTCAAACATAATGAGTATCACTTATTAGTTATTATTATTCTTCATTATTTTTTTTTCCTTTTTTAAGATTTAATATAATGTTTGTATTGTTGTAATATTGCCTTTTGGCATCATTTATGTTGATGAAGTTATTATTTTTTCATTAAACCAAAATAGGTTTCTACTTCACTAATTACTAGGTAGGTATAGATTATAATGAATGACTATTATGTTTTTGCTTAGACATTGAAGCAGCTAAGATACATTGAAAAAGAAACACCAGTACTACATTTTATTTTACTCCCTGTACCTCAGAGTAGTATGAATCTTCTTAAAAGAAAATAAATAATTGAAAACTTAATTTCTACATGATGACTCTATATGATGCACAACATAATCAAATCATCATATAAATCCTCTATTTTTTTTTTTTATAAAAAAAAACTTCATATGATAGAATATCTACAATAAATAATACTAGTACTAATGATTATTTGGTTCGTTAATTCTAAGTAATTTGACAGGCGAAACTATATTTTGGGTTAAGTAAGTCAACGACCTACTTATTTGGCCTTGATTCCGATGCAAAATAATGAAACTTAAACACCATACTTTTTGTTTTTATTCGTACATGAATTATATACTTTGATGATGTTGTTAACGTTTTGAATAACAGTGAGTCAGTGATAAGTTCTGCGGATCTTTAGTATTATTGCTCATATATTCCGTGATGTACATGAAAAGAGATCCTTTTCTGTACTATGCTTGTCTAGTTTGAATTTTTATTTATAATATAAAATTATATTTAAAAATAAAATCTCAAATTGGATAACTGTTTCAAGACGGAGAAAAAATAATAATACAATTGATTGCTTTGTATTTTGTTTGTCATTAGAAAAATAATAGACATTGTAAATTATTAATTGTACTAAAAATAATACAACTTTCAATAAAGGATATAAGAAGAATTATTATGTATTGGCCAATCATTTCAATATATGAATCAGTTGTTTATATATATTATTTTTAGGATTTTAACTCTGACATGTATTCAAATTCAGTCAAAATAAAAGCATCAATATTATGTGAGAGTGGATAAATACAATGATCTAGGTGCCCATAATAAACATCGCAACTCTTCAAATCTCTTTCTGTTTCAAAATGATATCGATGTTAAGTAGCTTGTGTAGACTTGGAATCACGGTAATCTGATATGACATGTCGACCACAACTAGTAACCTGTTTGTTTCCTTTTTATCGTGGTTTTTTCAGAATAATATAATAATATATGTTCCATCCCATTATACTTTTTTACATTTCCAATACACCTTTTTACATTCTCAACACAAAAAACACCTAAAAACACACATTAAAAAAACGAAACAAACAAGTTATACTTCCTATGTTTCACAAAAAAAGAAAACTATTGTAATTTGTGAATTTTAGAAACAGTATAATTCGCAAAATGTAATGTGGATTATTTTATGAGACCGAATAAATAATTTATTTAGAAGACCTTTGCTTCGAATATGAATTAGTGTGAGTATAATAAGACTCACCTAAAGTTATTTAACAACTATTGGCACCAAAAAAAATAAAAATAGTACGATATTATGTCATTGCATGTAAATAAAGGTAGTCTCTCAACCAGGATCATTTTCCATTTTGTTTCATCTACAACTGATATGATATGCATCAACGTACCATTAAGTTTGTTTGTTTAGAGCTCTACTAAAATGATGCTCTATCCGTCTCATTTTGTTAAATTACAAAAGCATAACAATGTGTACACTTAAAATAACACTTGAGAAGAACTATTGAAGAGACGCATTTCCTTGGCAAAACATGAAACAACATCCAAATAGAATATCTCAGAAAGGATAATTTAATACAGGATGTTGTCATAAATGAGGCCAAAACATGGGACCTTTAAGGAGATTAGAAAATCTCCCACAAAGATACGTTAAGCAAAAGACAACAACATAAATGCATAGCATAAATGAGGCAAAATCTCTGTTCCCTTCCCCTTCTTCTACTTCGGACTTCTCCCTATCATCATTCCTTTCCCATCTCTCTCCCTCTCTGTACTTTCTTCATAGCGTATGGTTTTGTATATTATTATTACTATTATTTTTTAAAAGGGACTGAATTACTACTTAAACCCCTAAAGTTTCCCACTTTATGTGTAAACACTCACTTAAAGAGACCAACTGCTACATTTGACCTCAAATTACTTAACCGATTCTCAGTTTAGAGAATACTTGTATGACAATGATAAAACTAAAGGGAGTTATTGGCAACTAACCTAATAAAAGGGAAAAAAAAAAACAAATCTTTGTCATCAGACTACATAAAAAAAGCATACTTTAATTATCTAAAAAATATTCTGGAAATTTTTTAATCTTGTCTTCTTTATCTTCCTACCTGTCAGTGTCACCCTTTTTCAGCTTTATTAATACTCTATAAATTCTGTTTTCTGTTTTTTAGTGTGTGTTTTAAGTTTTGTGTGCAAGTCTTTGGTCTAGTCTCGAGCCCCCTTCCCAATTCTGTCTTAAATCTGCTTTTTTGGGTTTCATAAATTCCATTCCTTTTTATCCCTTTCAGTTTACTACTAATTGTTCTGTTTTCCAGCTGAAGAAGCTGCTGTTCTCACAACCCTTCATTCTTTGATGATTTTCTTGCTATTTTGATGTGGGATTTTGGGAAGTTGTTTTCGTGGAGTTGAAAAGACTGGATCTTGGAATGATTTGGTGTTGAGTTGTGGGCTTCATATGAAAAGGGTTGCATTTTTTTGAGGCGCATTTTTTCTTCTGTTGAGGAAATGGCTACTGGATTACCCATGGTTGGTGATTCTATGGTGAAAGAGGCGCTGAGAAGTCTATGTCGCAACAATGGATGGTCTTACGGTGTTTTCTGGCGTCTTGATCAGAAAAGTTCTTTGTAAGTTTTTGTTCAGCTTTGTATTTTTCGCTTTATATGCTCTGTTTCACAAAACTTGGAATGTTCTTTGCTCTCAAACGTTGCCGCTTTCTATTCATCACTAGAGGGAATTCGTTTCTGTTTTAATCTCTGAACATGATTTGTACTTGCGAGTTAAACTGAGTAGCTAAAAGGTTGAAGTTTTGCATAAAATTCTTTGTACATATACGTTTCTGTTTTTTGTAGTTTTATTAGTCTTCTTGATTTACACCAGCTCAGTTCAGGTTATTTTAGGATGAATTCAATTTTTCCCTTGTCCAAGTCCAACTCAAAGCCAAAATTAATCTTCCTTGTACCTCATATTTACTCTATTTCTCGACTTGTATCGTTTTCTTTCTTTTTCATCGCTAGTGTTTGAAGTTTTATTTGATTAGTTTTGATTGGATAATTATTTGAATGGCTTTGCAGATTGACCTTGCAAGATTTGTACTTTGAAGAAGTTGAAGATTTGATGGTGGATATGTTTCAACAAGTTCATGTACTGGGCCAGGGGTAAGACTTACGCCCTGTTTCTCAAATCCAAGCTTGAGTTCAAAGTGAAACAGAGACCAAATTCTTTTCGTTGCTTTTATTTCTTCTTATTCTTAAAACTTTTTAATTTTCAACAGGGTTGTTGGCCAAGCTGCTTCTACTGACAGGCACAAATGGATGTTTTCTGATTCTCATCTCGGAATTGTGAGTCATAGTGGAATAATATCACACTTATGATATATTTCTGGAATTTTGTGTTTTAAGGCATAATAAAGCATAAATTTTGTTGTCACAATGCTAAATCACAACCTCGGTTGGTTTTTCTTTGTAATTGAAAAATAAATTTTTCAATATTATGCAGGATCATTTTGAATTTAATAGGCTGTTCCCTGCTGGAATGAAGGTAAATTCTGGCTCTTGTGGGAGTTGTCTTTTTTTTGAAATTTCTTGTGGGAGTTGTCATTCTGCAGCCTACTTCGATATAATTTTATAAGTATAAATGTCTTTTGCAGACTGTAATCGTAATCCCTGTGGAACTGTGTGGTGTGGTTCAGTTTGGCTCCACCCAAAAGGTCAGCATTCATTAGTTTTTTTTCCACTTCCAAGTGCTTGTGTTTGGTGATTCTGGAATATCTTCACAATTTTTATGAAGTTTATCTTTTGGCTAATACCTATAAACTTTCTGGTCTTTCCACTAAGGTGTTTGTTGGCAGTTTCTTTTGCTTACAAATTGTTGCAGTGTTTTCTTACCTCTAAAAGGATGAATAGTGCACTTATTGTTATTATTGACCGCAGGTTTACTAATATTGAGACTGAAATTGAGTTTAGATGGCTTATTAATTTATTCCGGCACATCCTTTTGTCTGCTTTATGATTTTTTACTTTTATTTTCTGTCATCTGAAAGGATTCCAACGTTTTTGGTTATGCAGCTGGAAGAGAGATTGGAGTTCATCAGTCAAACGAAAGAAATTTTTCAAAGCATCCAAATAATTCAGGGACTTACTTCATCATCGGTGGATGGTCTCTTTTGTCCAAACGTTGACGCTTGGGATGCAAATGAGCTAGCTGCTTCTCTAGTTTCAAGTCAGGGCTTCCATTTTACAACTCCAGAAATTCAACATGGTGATGCTAGGCTTCTTCAAGATTTAATGGAAACAGATTGTTCGTTAGCAAACATGACAGATCCATTTCTTTCCACTCTAGAGTATCCAAAACTGGATCCTTTTGTCATTGCCCAAGGTGATCGAAATGGAAATGAATCTAATGTTCAATCACAGCTGTCGGACATGTTGTGTGGAGGATTAATGGAGCTCTCTGCTTCTCCATTTCCCCGGAACAGTATGTGGAGTGATTCTACCATTCAAGATAGCTCAAACTTGTATGTTGACTTGGCAAACATCTCAAAACAGTTCTTCAGAAACAGTCACGGTTTTGATGAATTGCACCGCCCATGTGGAGATCACCTGGAAAGACCTAGCAAACTCTGTACATTTGAGGAGTTGTCGAAATTCGACTCTCTGGATGGTCTACCAAGAAATGCTGCAGTTGATGACATTTTACAGTGTTTTTCTTCCTTGGCAGACCAGAACAATGCACCCATGACAGCGACACAAGCTAGCGAGCCATCAGGTGGAGGAAGTATGAGCGAGGATCGTACTAATAACATCATTATAGACAACCAACCGTCTACCTCAGCCCAAAGCGTAGTCACTAATGCTCTAAGTTCTACTGGAAAATTGGAATCTTTAGAGGCTTTTGACACTGGAAAGCAGTTTCCTTGTTCTGGAATGGCGGCTGGGTCCAACTCCGCTCAATGTTCAGATAGTATTTTCTTGCCAGTAGAGTTAGGCGGTCACTTTGATCGCAAAAAATCCTCCGATTCAGACTGCTGCATATCAGGGCAATCTGTTGACTCCAAGCTCAGAACCACCTCGGATACTTTATTCTCAAAATTAGGACTTCATCAGAGACTGGATGAATTCTCGAGAGGCACTCATGTAGCTGCTAGATCTGATCCCGCTGATTGGTTGTCTTATTCGGCTAAAAGAAGGAAGATGGGGAGCGAAGTTACTTGTCTTCCTCATTATGTTGGGAGTTTGAAGGGAGTGGAGCCTGTATATCATCATCTAAACAGCTCAAAGATATTTGAATCCAAGGATAGGGACATCATGAGTCTAGAAGCAGTTTCATGCATCGCTGATAGTTGTAGTATTGGAGCTACAAAAACAGTTTCTTCACCGACGAAGCTTGAGCAACCTGTTAAACCCATTAAGAAGAAGGCTAAACCTGGGACAAAACCGAGACCGAAAGACAGGCAGCAAATTCATGACCGTCTTATAGAGTTGAGAGAGCTAATCCCCAATGGAGAGAAGGTTCGTTACAAGATCTCATTTGATTGTCTTAAAAATAAAAGCAAATAAGAGATGTTATTTGCTTGCTTGCTTATAATATCATAAAAAGGGAGTCTGTCTTGTGTCCTGTGCTAGTAGTCAAACAATACTGTCATTTTACAAAGTATCCTTGTAGCAGTATTGCGTTTCGAAGACTTATAGTTTGTGATTTAAACAGATGAGCATTGATCGATTGCTGCACCTCACAATAAAACACCTGCTTTTCATGCAAAGTGTCGCGAGATATGCTGAAATGTTACAACAATCTTCCGAGGAGACAAAGGTAAAAGTTGGAACCTGGGAATGCTATTTCCATTTAATTGAACTCTCATGTTCTAATAACTTTTGGGTGATTATACAGAGAGAAATCCATAAAAATAGTGGTGGCATTACATGGGCATGTGAGGTTGCAGATCAGAAAATGATTTGTCCATTAATAGTTGAGGACCTTAGTGTCCCTGGGCAAATGCTTATAGAGGTAAGAGGCGGCTTTTTCCAGTAGCATGTAGTTAATTGTTGAATATTAGTGTGTACAGTTATATCAACCAGTAATTTGAATAGCTTTGACTGAATGTACATTTCTTTCTCATGCAGATCTTATGCGAAGAACATGGTTTCTTCCTGGAAATAGTTGATGTTATTCGAGGTTTTGGCTTGATTATCTTAAAAGGGGTAATGGAACTTCGCGAGACTAAGATATGGGCTACGTTCAATGTTGTAGCCGAGGTAGGTAGATATTTATGCTAAAGATCAAAATCATCTGTGCACCATTTCGCTCATGTGTTGCTATTCTTCTGTTTAACTAATTGCAAAGTCTAATTTTGTCTTGCAGGAAAGTATGCGCGTCTCCAGGCAAGAGATATTTACATCACTTGTTCAACTTTTAAATTTGACCGGCCCGACTGAGCTCCAAAGAAGCCAACCACTTGATAACACTAGTACTAATGGAAAAGCTACTCTCTTCAACAATTGCCAGCAATCAGCTGTCCTGCATCCTGTTAGCTTGACTCGTGTGGATGCTTAAGTTTTTCCTGCTGCCTGTAAGAGGTATCAAATGTTGACCCAAGTTGACTGGATCTATGTATGCCCAGTTCTTGGAAAGTCACAACAAACTGGTATGCCAGAGCAGCGCGCACGAATGCGGCTTACTTCGCCACAAGGGATTGCAAAAATTTGAAGGGTAAAGGGTCTGCCTATTCATCTGGCTAGATGCTTTGGACTTTTCGGTGTCATTGTTCAAGGTTTCTCTTGTTCATCTCGGTTTACTAAATAGCTGCTTTAGAATTTACGGCTTTCAGTAGTCCCTTATGCAATGAACCAGCAATTTTTGGTTCTGGGAGAGGTGATTAGCTCAGGAAATTACTAGCCTGCTAGTGCTAGGTCAGAATTATTCTTTTCTTTTCTTTTTTTCTCTCTCTTTTGCTGCAGAATGGGTGTTGTGTTAATTTACCACCCTTGTAGGTTTTTTTACACGTAGAAACAGAGGGTTGCCACGATTACTTGTAAAATCAAGACAGCCGAACCAGTTATTTTTAATGGTTTCGTTGGCTAGGTTTGATTATTCTTCCTGCAAGCTTTTGAACCTTTGTTGCATCATGTTCATTGGTTGGGAGAAAACAACGTCAATGCAGTATCCAAAGAACTAGAAAGGTGCCATTTATGCTGCTACACTTGCCTTAGCTTTTTTTGATTTCCCATTTTAGGTGCATAACATTGGCTAGCTTTTGAGTATGTAAACACTTGCCTCGCCAGAATATGTTTTGGGGATTTAGCTCCGTTGAAATGGATAGCTAATACTCTCCTTGTCCCAAAATTATTGTCCAATTTGAGATTTCACTTTTTGTACAATTTGAACTAAAAATAAAAACTCAAACTGGACAATAATTATGGGACGGATGGAGTATCTCTTTTGGAGGAATCAGCAACCACAGGCTATGACTCAATAGAGTCTTATCCAACATGACTTCCAATCGCATATGTATAGATCCAGCAGACGGCAGAGATCCCTTCCACAGGTCAATTCTCAAGAACGGCAAGAAGTGAATCATGCGACCATTCTACCAGATGATTCTTTTGATCCAATCACTCATTCTGCGGTAGGAGCGTGAAAAATCACCTCCCCAAATAATATGGTTATGCAAATGAAGGCCACCACACTGTAAGTTTTAACTCCTTTTCAATCGGAGGCTTTAATCTGTTTATTAGCACTTCGGGAAGCTTCCAATTTTGGACTCAGTAGGGTGAAGGTTTTTACGGACTGTGAGATGTTCACTCTTAATCTCGCTCAAATATCAATTCCGACGAAAGCTCAAGAAATTGTTGCCTTATTATGTATTCTAATTTCGACCTTTTCATTCTGTAAAATTTTAAAAGTTAGCAGGCTAGATGTAGACGAAGTTCATAAATTTAGCATATAATAAAATGCGTTGTAATAGACTAGGTTCAGGAACCTTTTTCAAAAAAAAAAAGAAAAAAAAGAAATGTTGGATGAAGGAGCATTCTGCAAAAGTACCATCTATGTTTGCTGTAATTACTTTCCTAGTCCCTGTGTTTAGGTTATCAATCTTCAAAAGTTAAATTAGACCCTCAAATTTTGAACCTCGTGTTAGCTTATCAAGGGGAAGGAAACATGATCAAGTTTTCTGTTTAGGTGCATTACTACAAGTTTTCTGTTTAGGTGCATTACTACAAGCGTCGAAACTCTTCCAAACGTTCCTTAAAAGTAAGGTTGTCTTAAAAAAAACACTATACTATTAATTACATGAGATATATGTATATCATATTTTTAGACCACATGAAAATATGAAATTAGAAGTGCCTTTTTTTAAAAAAGAAAAAAAAATTTATCTTGCAATTGGTGTTGAAAGATTTCTTTACTTGATTTGGTGGTTCCAAAGAAACTTATCATACGAAGTATGCTTCGTTTTATGAATTGTGACTTTCAAAGTTTATGTTGTTCTTTCACTATAAGCAATCCATTTATTATTTTGGTTTGTTTAAATTTAAGGGATTTTTTTTTCCATAGTTGTCAAAAAAAGAAAAAAAAAACTTTATAAATCAAGGTTTTCACAACTTCAATTTGTTCATTAGATTCTTAGCAAACCATGCTATTAATTTTCAGAAGATTCTCGAGTTTATACTTTTGCAATCCTAGTTGCTATCACTTGCTAGATCCTTAATGGCCCGATGGAAAGGAAAAGAAAAGGAAAAAAAAACATTCGGGGTGGACTAAGGCCTTACTCTCTTGAGGACTAAAGGAGTACAGAGAAAAGTATAATTCGTACCAGATTCTTTTGCTTCATTCCAAAAAGGCACACACACAGGTTAACCAAAATTGACCTAAATAAACAGAAAAACCAATGAGCTTCATATTTGGTGCTGGAAACAGTAACAGAGAGTACAAACACTACACCATTTTTTTAAGGTTTGTAAAAACAAAGGAAAGAAAGAAAGATGATCTAAGGGGAGAGGGATGAGATGAGAACTTTTGTTGATAGTTGAGTTTGCTTTTCAAATCAGTACTACTACAATACTATTAATGTTGTGTTGGGATATTGGAAAAGATAAAAACAAAGGGAAGTAAAGCTGTCTATCACATTGATTTCAGAGATAAGTGGTCATCCCATTTTGAAGACGTATTGAACCAGAAATCTTGCTGCTCAATGGCCAATCACGTTTGCTTTGCCCTAAATAACATAGTAGACCTGAAAAGTCTGTCCATCTCATGACCTAAACTTTGCTTTCGGACAAAAACCTTTACTTTCTTTTCTTTTTTCTTTTTTTTTTAACCCTAATTTTTCACAAGGATCTTTTGCCACCCTTTTCTTGCTTTGCTAATTTGCAGTTTTTTTTTTTTTTTTTACCACGTATATATTGTTGTAGATTTGAGTGAATTATTACTTCAATCATCCGTAAGTGGAACTCGCCCGATCTTCAAAATGGTCTCTTAATAAATTCTAGCAATGCATGATTTGACTTTACTTCCTTGACCCAAATGAAGCTGCATCTTAATTCTCAAGCAAGCAATTAAGTGGCATGTGCGATTACTAGCTAGAATCAAAAGAATACAAGTAAGATTAGATGTTCAAGGACTTAATGGAGACACCAAGTTTGTTTATTTGTTGTCCATAGCACTAACTATTTCTCTTGTTTGTTTTTTGGATGAGATTTGAATGTCCGATCTCAAAGTCATAATCTTATGTCCTAGCCAACCCACAAGTGTGAACTGTGAAGTACTTCATTTATTTTTCACAAAAAAAATATAGGTAAAGGAACATTCAAAGAAATTGGTGAAGCATATATTTCTTACAATTTATTTTTCTAAGAAAGGAAAATATAGAATTCTCGGATGCAGATTCGTCGGAACAATAATTTCAAACACCGTAACATATATATATATATATATATATATATATAAAATTTCAAGACCTTTCAAAAAAAAAAAAAGTGGGTCATAGAAGATGGAAATATTTTGTTATTCATTTTTCCAATTTTCACGTTGTTTACTTTTCTTTGAAGCAAACAGACAAAGCAGTTGGATTTCTGGTTTTTCCACTTAGGTGGAGCAAATGGGGAGATTTTCACAAATTAAAATTACTTTGGTGAATTTTGTCTAGCTTGCCAAGCAGCCACATTGGTGTTCCAATGTCTCTCTTTAATTAGGTGAAAATGAAACCCACTATTGAGGGTTGTCATAGTCAGTGATCAAGTTCATGGCATTCTTTTTATTATTCTTTTTTTTTTTAACAATTTTATTTATTGCTCTTTCTTCCCATTCTTTTTCTTCACCTCGTCATTTTCGTTCCATTACTTTCCCATGCAAGCGTAAAATCGCAACATTGGTTAATTGTATCAGATGGAATTTGCCTTTTTATAGTTTTACCGCCGGTCTATAAAAGGGCATACTGTATGTTATACTTCTTTGATCCTAAAAACTAAATACATTTTATTAAATTAAAATAATAAAACAAAATAAACTATTGTTTTGAGACATATACAATACAATATTACTTACAAACTTGTAAAATATTTTTGTAAAAATTGATTTATCGACTGCTCTCTACCAAAGTGCAAGAGTAAACTCGAATTTCTTTAATTCTCTTGTATTTCTCATTAATGTAGGATATACATGTATAACTATTTGATTTTACCGGTTTTATGTTGATGATTACGTAAAAAGTTATACATTGTAAATGTAGTAGAATAGAATCCAAAAAAAAAAAACAAAAAAACAAAAAACAAAAAGGAAATCCTCTTTCCGGTTGAAAACAAAAACACGAAAGAAAAAGCTAGTTATACCAAGATGCTATAGCAAAACTACCTAAGAAAATCACAAGTTCTGTCACTACTCTTCAAACGTTTCCACAATTTAAAGAAAAATCCCTCGAAAATATATGCTTCTAGCTACTTAAAAAAGCCGCAATATTCATACTATAAATTATAAAATGTTAGAACTTCCAAGAAGCTAGCAATATTCGCCTCCAAAATTCAGAAGACTAGCATCATAAAAGACATACTTTAATTTGATTTCTCTATTTCAAAACCTGGGACTTAAAAAGTAGTCTATAATACATTTTACAAATTACAATGTGAACTATTTTTAATGTAAGTAACAAGAAAATTGTTTTTTTGCAATGGAGGAAGCATATGAAAAAACATATATTGACACATTAGCAAATCATACCTAAGAAACCACAAGCCTTTTCAATCTTCAGATCTTCCCAAAGTGAACCTTTAGTGCAGACTAGCTATCTTCAGCGTTCATCAACTAGGTACAATTGTATTAAATTAAACCCTTCAAAGAAGTACGCAAAAATGAAAATGCAAAAAGGAAGGAATAGAGATCATAGATAGTGAAGGAGTCGACTTTCCAATACAACATGTGGGAGAAGATATGTAGATAGATCTAGTGTTCACTTACCAGAAAGGATGAGCATAGCTATTATTATGGTTAAATAAATGAATGATTATATTCATGGAATTTTATTATTATTATTATTATTTTTTATTTTTTGGTTCTTTTTTTTGTGGCTTTTCTTTTGCAGACCAAATACCAACTTATCATCATCAGCAAATCAAATAAGTTTTCTACTCCCCCAAAATCTTCGCGGATAATGTCTTCAAATCCTCCCCCAAATTTTCTAATTTTTAATTTACTTACATTCATTTTGCATTTCGATTTTTCTTGATTGCAATCTTTAAGGTATCGAAATTCCTCTAATAATTAATGTTATATTCCCTCTATATACAATGACAAGTTAAACGAGATGCGAACAATTTTGAATTTTCATCCATGGTAGAATCAGTTGTTATTATTTTCTGTAGCTAATTATGAAAGTAGTGCTTCATCCAGTGATATACGTCATTTTAGCACTTATAAAACCTGACCTAATTTAACCAGAAACAAAAGAAAATAGATGATTAGAAAATCTAATCAAATGTAGCCAGCGGACCACCCTGACCTCAAATTTAATCATTTTTTTAATTTTTATCCTCCAAAACGTGGCTTCAATCTTCATTCCATCAGCAACATTTTCAGTATAAAACACCATCAACAGTCCATCAATCAGGATGACACAGCAACATTAATTGTCACTAACATTAGCATTCCACAAACAAAAAGAAGAAAAAAGAATGAGTGATAAGGTGGTAGAATGGAGGATAAAGGTGGTGGATGGCAGCGAAAAGGGCTCGTCCGGGGAGGTTTTGACACCGGAAAAAACAAATGCCGGTTGGCGACACCGGTTGGTAGAGTGCTTGATCATGAACAAAGTTTTCATTTGGGCGTGGACATTCTTGAAGAAGGCGTGGTTTTTAGGCGCCGATGATCCAAGGAAAGTTTTCCACTGCCTTAAAGTTGGAATTGCTCTCAGCATTGTCTCATTGTTCTATTACATGAGGCCTCTCTATGATGGTGTCGGAGGAACCGCCATGTGGGCTGTCATGACGGTCGTGGTGGTTTTTGAATATACGGTTGGTACGTATCAAGTGAATCTTATAGTAACTGACGTGACAATTATTTATCAGTAATGTATAAACAGGACATTCCAAATTGTCACGCGAGTTCTGATGAGTATTATTACCGTGCACAATTAAATATCGCGAAAAATGTAACATTGTTGGATCTGTATCTTTTTACAGGTGCAACAATTCAAAAATGCTTGAACAGGGTAATGGGAACTTGTATGGCTGGATTGCTTGCAGTCGGAGTTCACTGGCTGGCAACTAAATCAGGGAACACGATTGAGCCGATTATCACCGGAACCTCGTTATTCTTACTTGGTACGAGTAATTTATAAGGCTAATCGATTTTTAATGTAGAAATGTAAAGTAATTGATCGAACCTAATTAATTTGTTATGTCATGTCCTGTTTGGCGCAGCTTCGGCGGTGACATTTTCGAGATTCATTCCAGGAGTTAAGAAGAGATTTGACTATGGGTTGATGATCTTCATCCTGACATTTAGCCTGGTATCGGTGTCGGGTTTCCGGGTTGAGAAGCTGATAGATTTGGCAAGGCAGAGGTTATCAACCATAATCATTGGTACTTCTCTTTGCATCCTCACAAGCATGCTGGTTTTCCCTGTTTGGGCTGGTCAAGATCTCCATTGTTTGATTACTCGAAACATGAAAAAGCTCGCTGATTCTTTAGATGGTAATTAGTTGAATTTTTACTGATCAAAGTCTCTATCTAATTATTAGAAGTGAATTTTTTTGTGTTAACAAAAGTAATTGGAATGATTGATTTTCACTCTGCAGGCTGTGTTGCTGAATTTTTTGGAGATGAAAGCTTGGAGAAAACAAGCGATGGATCAATTCCAAATCCATCAGCCTATAAATGTGTATTAAATTCCAAGGCCACTGAAGAAGCAATGGTATGATTGTTTTCCAAATGAGCATTAGGAGTTATTCTAGCTAGTTTAACTGAGGAATTGAAGTGATTCAAAAGTTTTGGGACTAATTTGGGAATTTCTGGGCTCTAACAGGCAAATTTTGCAAGATGGGAACCATCTCATGGCAGATTTAGCTTCAAACATCCTTGGAAACACTATCTCCAAATCGGTGCCTCAATGCGCAAATGTGCTTACATCATCGAAGCCCTTAACAGTTTTGTTAGTAACAAGAACGAGGTATACACATACATACAACATAGTCATTTCTTTATTATCAAATTAATTCTTCCCCGTCCCAAAATTGTTATCCAGTTCAGATTTTCTCATTTATACTTTTGGGACATAGGGAGTAGTATATACAATCCTTATGTGTTAATTTAATTATACGTCAGGAAGTCATGTTACATATGTGACACACTTGGTCACTATGAATATCATTACTCGTAAATCTTTGATACGTATAGCATAAAAAACGTACAGATATTGATATCAAACTAATGAAAGGTTTGGATGGCAGGGTTGTGCAGTGATGAAAAAACAAGTGAATGATGTATGTGAAAAAGTGAGTTCCAGCGCTACAAAAATCCTAAGGGAAGTATCCATGAACCTGGAAAAGATGGAGAAATCCACAAAACTGGAAATCTCAATTCAAGAAATGAACAATGCAGTACTTGAACTTAAAAACCAACTCGAATCCTTACCCAATTTAGTCCTTTCTTCTTCCCCCGATAAATCATCAAAATCAGATGAAGGAAAACAGGATGAAACAAGATCATCAGGAGGAACAATAACAATGGCAGTTGACATCAGCATCCCACTGGTGGAAATGATACCATTGGTCACCTTTGCTTCTTTGCTGATTGAGATTCCGAGTAGGGTCGAAGCCATTGTTGAAGCTGTGGATGAGCTAGCAAAGATGGCTGAGTTTAAGCCGCCGAGAAAGCTAGTACTAAAACAAGAGGACACCATAACAAATGAAAACAAACGTGATCAAATTCAAAGGAATGCTGCTGCTGCTGATGATGATGATGATGATGAAACAATGAAGACTCTTCAAAGGGTCTGAGATCATCTATATCTAATTAATTCTTTCTTTTTTTTCTTTTTGTGGTTAAATTACATTTAAATTTCAACTACATATATAATGTACACTCTATGTTATACTTTTAGTCTATTGTACATACAAGAACATGGAAAAGTGGATGCATTACAAGGTCATTACTCAATACCATTGGTCTATTTCTAATAACAATTATTTTTTACTATTATTGAGATTACCGCGTATCAAATAATTTAAACTCGACGACTCTACTATAACGTTCAAAATTATTATTACCTCTTGAAACTTTGCACTTACAGAACTTTGTAGGTACAAAAGCTTTTAAAATATAGCCGGGGTCTCATATATATCCTATAAGAATGTCTCCCTCAAAAAAGATATGAAAATGATGAAGGATTCGCTTGTGAACAAGCATTTGTTTTTATTTTGATTTTAATATTACATATATTAAAAAAATAAATTCAAATATTAAAAAGTTATATCGGCATTGTTAATTCGTAAGGTTGATAATATAAAACCATGAACATCGGCATTTCCATGAATACAAAAGGATTTTGTGCAGAAAAAATCTCAATTATAATCAAAGATTGAAAATTTTATTAATGTGCTTCTTTTTTAAAAAAATAAAAATGAAATAAAACCAGAAACAAAATACATATAGCAAAGTTAATTGGAAAGATCCACCGGCATAGCTGGGGCCAAACTAGGCGAAACGCGAAAAATACAAATATTTTATTATTATAATTATATCATTACTACGATCAAATCATATTCCGTCCATTTCCATTTCAATCCCTTTCGTCTTCAATCGAAAGAACCCTAACATCTTCCCCCAATTTCTTCCCACGATCGATTCAACCGACAATACATCAAAATGGGGGACGTGTCGGACAAATTGGCGTATTTCCAAGCAATAACAGGCCTTGATGACCCCGATTTGTGCACCGAAATCCTCTCCGCCCATGGCTGGGACCTCGAGGAAGCCATTTCCTCCATCACTTCTAACCATAACCCTAATTCCGCTTCCAATTCACATCCAGTCAGCGATCAGACGCCGCTTCTTCAGCCGGAGGATGAGCCCGGCCTCGTCGCTCCGCCGGCTCCCACTGCCAGTCCGCCAGGTCAGCCTGGGTTGGTCTGGAAGGTTGTGACGCTCCCTTTCTCGATCATTTCTGGAAGTTTAGGGTTAGTGTCTGGGGCAATTGGTCTTGGGATGTGGGCCGCTGGCGGACTGTTGTCGTATTCTCTCGGTGTAGTCGGGCTCAACTCTTCGGGTCGGGCCGGCGGGGAATCCGCTTCTACTTCTTCTTCGGTTTCTGCCGCGGTGTCTGAGGCGATGGAATTCGTGGCTAGTTTCGAGCGTAGTTTTGGGAACTCAGCGCGCCCGAATTTCGTCTCTGAGGGTTTTATGGATGCGTTGCAGAGGTCACGGCGGGAGTTTAAGCTTTTGTTCGTCTACTTGCACTCGCCGGATCATCCAGACACGCCAGTATTTTGTACCAGGACGCTTAGCAATGAGGCTTTGGCCGCATTTGTGAATGAGAATTTCGTGGCTTGGGGTGGGAGCATTAGGGCTAGTGAAGGGTTCAAGATGAGTAACAGTCTGAAGGCTTCGAGATTTCCTTTTTGTGCTGTTGTTATGGCTGCCACTAATCAGAGGATTGCTTTGCTTCAACAGGTTATTTATTTGTAGCTTTATTTTATTGAAGACTGCTTTGCTTTTATGATATGTTTTGGTAGTGATGACTAATGGAAAGTTGAATCATATGATATACTAATTACCATGGTCGAAGTGCTTAACTGTATATCGTTTAAAGGAAATGACCTAGTTATGGCTAATGCATTTCATGTTATGTAGGTATGAATATCTGCTCAAGATTGAATGTTTTTAGGAGAATAGGAATTATATTCCAGAGCTTTATTATTATGGTGGTTGTTGTTTTGGCATAACTTTGGGTAAAAACTTCGAGCATAAGTTGATTATGTACGGATAATGTCAGTGTAACTGACGATAGTCAGTGACTGAAAACCCTTGCGGCTAAATTCAGAAGTTACTAGTGTGGACTGTGGTGCTTCTTACTTATTTAATCATTTTTGAGCTTGAAACTGGCTGTTGTAATGGTGCCGAGCTAACTTGTAAGAACTTTTTGTTTAAGTTCTCTCATTGTCTTTGTAATTTGAGGAGGCCGTTTGTTAAGTAATATTTTCATGTGTTTAGAATGCTTAATTTACTGTTTTACACTTGTGAATACTTGCATGATGCAGGCAGATTTTTTGTTAGTGGGCTTTCACAACGTTAATTTTCACATGCTTTTGCTGTTGCTCATGTGGTTGCTTATCTTTTCAGTTCTCTCGAGTTATTCTGTACCATGCTATTTGTTTTTCTGGAAACCGTGGTGCCTTACAGTGCTTTGTGTTTTACTTTTGTGCGAAAAGGATGTTTTGTTTCTATTCCAACAACTTTCTTCCTTTCCTCGAGGAAATAAATGGTAAATCTGAAAGTTTACGAAGTTCACTTACATGTCCTATCTTGGTGAATCTCTTGCAGATTGAGGGACCCAAGTCTCCTGAGGAAATGATGAATATATTGCAAAAAGTTCTGGAGGAAAGTGCTCCTGTTCTTGTTGCGGCCAGGCTTGATGCGGAAGAAAGACGTAATAACATGCGTTTAAGGGAGGAGCAGGATGCAGCATACCGAGCAGCACTTGAAGCTGACCAAGTAAGCTTCTGTTCGATCCTTTTTTTTTTTTTAATTTTGTCGATGAAGGATTTAGTGAGCTATTATCTAAAGTAATTGAATGTTCCTTTTGGATTGGTGTCATAAATTCTATCTCATGCATTACTCCTGGGTGTTTTTAATCAGGCTAGGGAACGGCAAAGAAGAGAAGAGCAGGAACGACAGGAAAGGGAAGCTGCTGAGGCTGAGAGGAGAAGAAAAGAGGAAGAGGAGGCACGCAATAGAGCCGCACGTGAAGCTGCTGAGAAAGAAGCTGCATTGGTTAAATTGCGGCAGGAGAAAGCTCTATCTCTTGGTGCTGAACCTGAAAAGGGACCCGATGTAACTCAAGTAATTTTCCTTTACTTTTCTTTCCTTTACAGAAGTATAATTGTCGAATCTTAGTCACTGGGCATTTCCCACAGTATATATGGTCATGGACCAACGTTATGTTTTGTTTATATTATGCACATTACCTTAGGGGATGTAAGGCTTGAGGTATATATGGTCGTGGACCAATTTTATGTATTGTTTATATTTTGCACATTACCTTCAAAATTGAGTTTTTGCTCCTGGTATGATTATTTGTTGTGTATCTTAATGGTTATTTCTCATTTGGTTAGGTTTTGGTACGCTTTCCGTCTGGAGAACGCAAGGACAGGAGATTTCATTCCAGTGCAACTATTCAATCTCTCTACGACTATGTAGATTCATTGGGCTGTTTAGAGATGGACAGTTACTTTCTGGTCTCCAATTTTCCGCGTACTGTATATGGACCAGAGATGCACTCCAGAACCCTGAAGGAAGCGGGATTACATCCTCAAGCGAGTCTTTTTGTGGAGTCAAAATGATGATGATTACTTCATTCACTTTCAGTGTTTCAGAAAGTAGGAACAAGTTTATTTTACTCTGACTTGTTTCTTTCCGGACGTAGTTAAGAGCACGTATCCATTTAGAAAAGAATGCGCAGAATTTTACTCCTATCTTCAATGCACATGATTCATTGTCCAATCATGCTTTCACCCTGAAAGCTCCCTGTGTAGTGTCTTGTTCACTGGAGTTCTGGGTGACCTATGTAGAGTTAAATTTTGCAGATATTAAAGTGATAAAACATATAACATGACTTATTAGAATAGCAAGTGTTATTGAAAAGCTTCATTTAGCTGGGTGTGTCACATGTGAATATCTGTATTTTTCAAATGTTTAGATTGAAGATAACTAGATATGCTTGATATACCATCTTTGACCTTCGGGAAAGTCTGGTAATCTCATACCTTTCGAGGTTTCAATTATTCCATTGCATATTCTACTATTTGCGGAAAGGAAACATAACTGAATTCTCTATGAAAGAGAGGGGTTTGAGGCAGTAAAGAGGCTTATTATTCAAGCAAGTCGCTAACAAAGAATGACCGCGGGCGCCCTCCTGACAGTTTTTCTTATTTTCTCTAACAACAGTCTCTGGGATGGCTTCATATCTGAGGGACAGAGTGAATCCACACCCTCTATTTCCACTTTGACAGCATCGTCTCTGACACCAATATCTGAGGCATATCGGTTAAGGATGTATAATGCGGCTCCTACCGAAGTCACAATAGGGTTTGTGTTCGACATGAGCAAACCTCTTTTTGACATGATCCACGTGAGCAACCGAGAAATAGTAGCTGCTGCAGAAGCACTGATAATACTATCCACCTGTCCACTGCTTCCAGTGGCCTCCGTCTGATTGATAAGAAGGCCAGTTTTACAGTGCAGCGCAAAATCCTCACAGTTATTCTTAAGAACATTGTAACTTCCAAATCCATTGGTAAATAGATATGCCGCCCTGGAAACAACTACTTCGGGTGCATCAGAGATGGCTGTCGTGCATGTGCCACCTCGTTTAGCAATGAAGGTAAGTCCTCCCACTCCATACTCAAATCAATGCAATGATCCCCCGGCAAGGAAGCAATTTAGACAAGAGAGGACGACCTCACTCCTCGATTCATGAAGTCCACAGACAGGCTTGGTTTGACAGTCTGACAAGGTTTTTGAAAATGAAGAAGAGTTGAAGGCACATGGGGTACTTCTACCCGAGGAGGTAAAACTGCTGGAACTTGAGCTTTGTTGAGAAGTGAAATAGATAACTGAGTTTCCACAAATATAAATGCCTGAAAATTGGGAAATGGCAGGTAAGGGAGCATAATTCGGCAAAATAAATTGATTCCATAAATACAAACGATCTAGTGATGCTAAAGGCACCAGGATACCCAAACATTGCAACATCTAGGATATATAAAAGTTCTTCAATTTTTGAGGTGAGCTCTTACGCATATAATCAAAAGTTTACGACAAACTGGTAAACTTGAAAATAAATAAATAAATAAATAAAATGCAGAGGTCTTCAATCAAACAAACAGGTACATTCATCTTTGGTAAAGCCTTTTATCGTTACATGAGTCAATACTTCAATATTTGAAATGCATTCGATAAAATCATAGAGAGTTGAAAATAGGTTCTGGCAATTCTCAAAATGAAGCGACATATTGGTTGCAAATCTTACAAATAACTGCCTACAAAGCAGATGAAACTGAAAATAAAGAAGTGCACTCAGAATACTAGGGATGCAACTTTTCGTGCGCATGAACCAAATCTGAACTAACAAACCATGATGTGAGTAAGTGAACGCAGTTCTCCAAGTGTAGATATGATCTCCTGCTTGAATCTCGTCCCTTCCAACTCTGTGTGAGAAAAACCCAGTTCCTTTGTTGCTCTATTATTTCAGAAGCCAACCAAGTAGCTCAGAGGGATAATTTAGAGAGGAAGTAAAAACAGTGGGAGGTTTACATTTTATACAAGTAAACTACTAGTCTCGGGAACAAGGAAAGCCACAAGGGAATGTACAGAGTTACATTGAGGAGCTAAAAGGTTGCTCTTAACTGTAAAACTGCAAAACACAGTTTAGCCAAAGAAGCTGGGAAGTTACTCCTCCGTTCCAAAATAAGTGTCATTCTAGAGTTTGCACATAGTTTAAAAAAACATTAAATAGGGTAACTAAATTACTAGAATATCCTCAACCAACCCCATTAAAATAAATATTACCAATAATATTGTTTATTTTGAGGGTATGTTTGGAAATTTTTGACAAAAAAACGCATTGGAATCCGAAAACGACACTTATTTTAAAATTTCTCCATTTTACCAAAACGACACTTATTTTGGAATGGAAGGAGTACATGCAGAATGTAAATAAAACTTTATTTTGCTGGGTGGAAAAGGGGGGAAAAAAAAAGGAGCTGAAAAGTTGCCTGTCAATTGGACTAAAATGGTCAAGTGCACGGACACACACACAACACCCCCCCTCCCTCCCCAAGTTTACTCTTGAGGAATGAAAATGGGGAATAATCTGAATGACATTGTTGAACTATGCTTAGAATTGAAAGCTACAAATAAACAGGAGCTGCGTCTTACTCGATGTATAGCAGATATTTCAATTGATGAAGAATGAGATGGCAAGCATTCAAGACAGTAGAAATGTACAAAAATAGCTTTCCCTCCACCTTAAATTACTTTGATTCAGAATCTTTGAACTTGAAATTCAAGATATTTTCGCTGACAAACGCGTCATTTTGAACTTACAAGATTTCAATCCTTCGTTACAACCTACCACAATTTCACAGCAATGAAGAATATCAACTTTGTGAAAGGATGTGACATATGCTGCTCTTTGTTCAGCAAAACATTTGCCGTTTAGAAGACTGAAAGTCCCTTTCTTCCACATCGTGCAACCTTTTACGGCATTGAGCATCTTTGCTAGGTTCTCTTGGACCTTTATAGCAATGGGATGATACCATGTCCTCTACTTCCACTCTGATAACATCGCTTCTGACACCAATGTCCGTAACATATCGGCTCATTGTGTATAATCCAACTCCTGCAGCTGCTATGCTGACAGGGTTCGACATTAACAACCGAAGAGGCGAAGAAAGAATACCTGCCAAAGGAGCACAAATGAGACCAGATACTTGTCCGCTCCTTCCAGGAGTTATTTTGTCATTGACGAGAAGACCAGTTTTACAGTACAATGCAAAGTCTTCACAATTATTCTCAAATACATTGTAGCTTCCAAATCCATGTTGAAGTAGATGCACCGCTCGGTGAATAACAACATCAGGTGAATCAGAGTTTGCTGTCGTGCATGTCCCGCCTCGCAGTTTAACAATGAAGGCAGGTCGGCTGATTCCATATTCAAACCGGTACAGTGTTCCCCCAGCAAGGAAGCAATCGATACAAGAAAGGACGACCCCACTTCCAGTTTGGCGAAATCCACAGTCGGGCATTGGACATTCTTGTAAGCTTTCGGAACATGAAGGGGACGACAAGGAAGAAGACACACTTATACTTAAGGAGGTGGCAAATATACCACTGGCTAAACAGGAAATATGTTCGCGAGTGAAATGGACAACTTTCTTTCCACCAACATAAATGCCTGCAAATGAGAAAAGCCAGATAAAGCATCAGTTGGGGACATTAGGTATCAAACTTAGGAACCTTACACAGAAAATGAACGGCAAATAGAAATGATCTGCTGATACCATTCATTTATACAGAGTATAATCCTATTCACACAACTCAAACCCATTAGGTCATCTAACAACATCTCTTATCAACCTACAGTAGGGACATGGCTCCCTTCTGTTAACCCCATTTACATTTTCATAAACACAATTACCTAATAAAAGCGCTTTCACTCGTTACATAATGTGAGAGCTGAACAACAAAGATAATGGAATAATAGAAAAAACAAAATTCGTGCAAATACTCAAACTATGCATGAATGAGAAACAAGCTAAAGACTGCATAAATGAGTACCACAGGGGCAAAAAAAAAAGTGCAATCTTTCAGCACATCAACATAATCAAATCTCAATTACAACCACATCGAGCAACAAAAAGCCTTAATCAGTAACTACATCAAATGGATCCAAAATTAAATGAATTTAACAGGCATGAACACAAAATCTCAACAAGATCAAAGCAACCACCATATACATTCTGCTCAAGATTACACCTTTCGCTTCATTAATCTAAAAAAAACGAATAAATAACTCAAGGCAAAAAAAGCAACTAAAATGAGAGATTATTGAGGGAAAATTTCAGAGATGGAGTGGAATAAACTTGAGTCTCTAACCATGATGTGAATAACTAAATCCGGTTCTCCAAGTATAGATATGGTCCCCTGCTTCAAGGTCGCCACTCCCAACTTTGTGCGACAGAAAACCCATCTCCTCTTTCTGTTCATTCAAAGTGAAAATTAAAAATAAAATGAATTGAATTCCCAGAAATTGAAAATCAAGGAAATAGTAAGAAAAAAAAAATCGATATGTGCTGGGAGGAAAATAGAAAGGAAAAAATAACAGTTGAACACTGTCAGATATGGCTTCGCCCGGACTCGAACCGGAGACCTTCAGTGTGTTAGACTGACGTGATAACCAACTACACCACGAAACCAAACCTTGATCCTATGGTGGTAATATAGTTATTTAATTACTTTCAAAACATTGTAAGATCTCAAACAAAGAGAATAGAGCTGAATAAACCCAACTAGTTTCTCCCGTGCGTTACAAGGAATATATGTTAAAATTTATTATTAAATCAATAATTAGTTATGAAAAAATATCGTGTACTCAATTAATGGCTGATTGTGAATTAGAATCTAAAAAGAAAGGAATGATACAAAGAATAACCTAACGATAAAAATGAATTTAAAAAAAGACGGGTTGAAAATTAAATGGTATTAATATTATCATAATTTTAAATTTCTTTAGGTTTTAATATAGGAAGAAGATTTTATTCGATTTTTTTTTTGTAATTTTACCCGTGACATTTTAACTTTTTTTATACATAAATTAGATTGGTATTAGGATGACTGAGTTTGAATGTAAAAAAATTTGTTACTTACACTTTTCTCGTAATTTTTCCGTGATAGGTAATATTTTTTATTTTGAATGTAAGAAAAATATATTGTTTGAATTTTTTTTTGTGATTTTAACCGTGAAATTTGAACAATTTTTTTACTATTAACAACGTCATTTTTTGTGCAAGAAAATGTTGAATCAGAGTGAAATGTGCAATTAAAATGTCTCTTTCTAATAATATAATGAACTAATTTTTATATGGATCCGTAATAGGAATCTGCTTTATATAGCTAACATTTTTTTTTATCAAAACGACGTAGTTTTGATTTGATGTGTTTTGGAGGGAAAACCTTTAATCACATCGTGACACCTTAGCATTTTTATTCTCTTGAACTTTTGTTTTAATAGGATATATTGATTGATTGACCAATTATACAATGAATCATGAATTTTTAACATGAAGTTGTATGTTGTCTATCTCATCATTTACTAATAGTACTCCCGCCGGTGCTTAATATAAGACATTTTGATTTATCCTATGTTTAACCTTGTAGACATTTTTAATAGACGAAAAAGTCTTAAACATATTTCGTAACATTTAAGAGAATACGACGAATATAAAAATATATTTTTAATATTTTTTTCAATTAAAAATACATATTAGGTGAAGTATATGACAAATCAAAATGTCTTATATTAAGAATTTGGGGGAGTATTATTATTTCATCAATTAAGTGATTTTATTAAATGAATGAATTCATTGTAAGCCATTACACGAAATAGTCCACGTATAAAGCAAACTTCCAAATCATGTCACGTTAGAGTTTGGTTAGAAGGTGTTTGTGCCGAAAAAATCACTTTCAACCGTGAAAAAGAAAGAAGGGTAAAAATCTCTTCAACATAAAATATCAAAACGATTGTGGATGAGCTCGAAAATAAGCCTCGGACTCGGAATCGACTTACGTTTACTCTGGTTTGTAAAAATAAAGAGAAAAGAGAATAAAAAGGGACAAAGAAGTGGAACAAGCCAAGCGACTCGATTTATATATAAAAGGAAAAAGACCTAGCATCGACAGGGAACTTCCAAATTGTTGATACGCTATTACAAAGACTCAGATATTAGTGCCAACTAGACGTAACCGATGACACACTATAACACGGACCAGAGACACTAGCGCCGACAGGAAGTCCATATCGATGGCAAGCTATTACAGAGATATGAAACTCACTGAAGTAGAATCCATAAACGACTATCTATTTCTATGAAGGAAAAACAGGCAAACACTTATAGTGCGCTAGGGCTTACATCGAAAAAAATAATAAAAAACTTGAATAAAAAGGACTGAAACGATAATGAAACTATATCGAAAAGAACATAATGAACGGAACAGAACTAAAAAGAACTAAAAAGAAAGAAAAGATAAAAAGAGGCGTCGAAAGCCTTGTATTATTGTTGATGTGATCGAGAAATGATGTTGATGATTGTCGCAGCCTTACTTAAATAGAGAAGTATAAGTCGGCTGCCTTTCTTGGATGCAAAGTAAAGTTTCCCCAGAAGAATTCCACGAAATCTTGTGCAAGTTAGAGTCCACGTGAATGACTCTTTTAATTAAGAAAGGAAAGTAATCAATTTGCCAACTTCTGCGTTGAGAGCTCTCACAAACCAACCAAACTTCTCCTTTATTAACCAATCAACCCTAATTATTGTGTGAATAGAACTAGGCTTCGAATTAAACTCCTTAATTATAGAGAATATCCCAATAATTATTCGTGTCAACGGTTGATTGTGTTTACATTTTTAGGTTTCTTTGATTCAGACGCGTTGATGACTTTTAAAAATTCTTATTTGCGGACCGGTTCATATTAATTGTTAGGCCGACACCAATGACGAAATTGGTGTTAACAGAAGTTTGACTTGTTTATGTAAAATAAATATTCATTCCACTTCTCAATGTCTTAATACTCTTATTTATTGTATAAAACTTTTTTTATTTTATTTTCTTAGGATATAAGATGAGACTACAGTACAGGATTTCTTTGGTTTCTTCTTCAAAATTACTTTTCATAATCTTCTTCTTAATCCTATATGGTCAACTCTGTTCAAGTTCAAAGACTCCTCATAAATGACAGGAATGAATGTTTAAGAGGCCATTTTGTACTAGAGTTTTTATATCGTGCCTTGTCTAATTAATGGAAGCTATTTAAGAGATAAATTATTAATTAAAATATTACTAGTATTAAATTAGTCAATTCTCTTTTTATATTTAATATCATATATCATATATCCAACCAATTACGTGATTAGAAAAAAAATTCAAAAAGGAAGAAATATTTATTTATTAATATACTTATATTCATACAAAAAACTAAAGGTTCATAATCATACAATGTAAAATTCGTGAATGATAAACATATTTTTCATATCAAATATATAAAAAATTCATATCTTTTAATTAAAAAATTGTACACATAATTATAAATTAAAGGTTTTAATATTTTTAATCTTCTATTCATACATACAACCATGACTATTCATGAAGATTATACTAAATGTTCATACAAATTAGAGAAATTTCAAAACATTAATCATATGTGCAATAAATGTTCATACTCTTTTCCTTAAATATTCATGAATAACAATGATACTTTTCACATCATATCATGTGTATCAAAAATTCACAATTTTTATAGAGAATTTAAAGACTAATGCAAATAAGCAGTCTATATTCATACCCATATAAAATAATATTCATGAGAATTATGTAAATTTTCATACAAAGAACATAAAAATTTTAATTAAATATTTAAAAATCCTTATATTGATAGTTCATACTCATTCTATAAAAAATTTATGAGTTATAGTAATATTTTTCATGACATATATATTAAAATTTCATGATTTTTTTATTAAATTTAAATTGTTTCTAATTTTTCAAACTATGTAAGTAATTATGAATAGTGGTAAGAGTCAGTAATTATGAATAAAAGAAAAAGTTACAAAATTATTAGAATATTATTTCTGTTATATTTGAAAGTATGACATGAGAAATTAAATGATGAAAGGAATGAATTGATTTAATATATTTTTTTTATTTTTTTATTTCATAATTAGATTGTATTAATTAGATAAGTGTACCATATATGGTACACAAGGTTCACCATATAAATTACTTTTGTACTAATATCTTACAACATTGATACGTGACATTTCTCAATTGCCTTTTTTCTTACAACATTAGTCTTCGTTTAGATTTTTTTTTTAGTGTGTTTTTGTATTATTGAAAAAATTGGGAAAAAATCTCTGAAAAAATGAACCTAATATTAGCCAGTTCAGGGGTTTAATCTCTTACCATGATTAAAATGACTACCTGTATTAATTTTCTACACTTTTCTTTATCAGACTACTTTAAACATCTAAAAATTATATATAAAAATAACTTACACACTAACATGTCAATAGATGAATATTATTGATAAAGATAAAACACGTAAAAATATATGAATGCTGTAAGTTGTGGATCATACATTTACACATCAGTTAACACACCAAATTCACTATAATATTTCATTATATTTATCATTTTTCGTAAGTTGTGTAATAACATGGAAAGTAGTGTAAAAAATTGTGACAATACCAAGTAGAAATTCACAAGTACTTGAATTATTACACGATGGAAGAGCAAGAAAAACTATTATTAGAGTATTTTAGTAGTGGTAGATAGTAAATATTAAATGGATAACTAACTACGCCCTGTACTATATTACATGGAGTGTAATAATATTGAATAGTATAAGAATTTTTACACCATGTGATATTTCATTTTGCCAATAACTATGTATTTAATGGAAGTTGACCTATATAATTATATTACAATTTTTTAATGTAAAATCAATGTGAAAAAAAATTAGAATAAGGTATAATGATGCAAAATGACGATGTCACTATTGTATCAAATCTCTAATAATGATATCCCTTTTACTCTATTAAAGTAGAAAACAGGATGCTGATGTGGCATTTTCTTATTAAAATGTTTTGGCTCCAAATGCACCATATTGCATTAATCATTCTGCCACGTGTCACCTCCTTTTAAAAATAAAAAATATATTTACAATACTAACGAAGAGATCAGATGGTCACGTTCATTCAAATTTTGAATTTGACACTGTATGAAATTTTCCTTCTCCATTTATTTAGGATTTCCGAAAAATTAATTTCTGGTCAATCAATTATCTTCATCAAAAACTAAATTCATTCCTAATCAGTTTTGATTATTTACATATCGATTTATTAGGTGGGACGCCCCCGGGCATTTGCCCGGGACAAGCATCTAGTAAATCATTATGGATATACTTATGAGAGTGAAGTCTCTGTGTATATTTCGCTTGTTCATCCGATATTTAAAAGATCTCGTTATTAGTTTGCCCTATTACAATTAGTGGGTGTCGAAAGTCAAAAGTCAAAACTATTTCAACACTTGAGCTTTTCCCCTTGGCAATAATTTTTTGTTTGTTTATTTGTTTTTTGGATTAAAATTTAGATTTCCGTCAAAATTTGAATATGATCTCGTGATTATAGTATTTTATTTTCACCATTTCAATCCCATGTAACATGTTTAATGTCCATCCTGTTTTCCAAACACATTTCTTTTTCTTTTTTTCTTTTTTTTTTTAAAGTAATGGATACAAACGAAATTTTATTTTCTAAAGATAGCAACTTACAGATGATAAGTAATCCTTATCTAAATCTTTATCCGAACATATGACATTTAAGCTTTACCCAAGAAAATAAAAATACATCCTGTCTAATCAAATAGCAACATGTTAATTAAAATGAATAAAAATATCTTTATTTATTCCAAAAAAAGAAACCATTAATTACAATATTACATTATTAACTTAAAACAAACTTGCTTTATTTTATACGATGATAAAATAATATAATTAATTAAAATTAACCAACAAACTACAATAAAAAATTAATTTGCATTCAAGGATTATATAACATCATCATTGCAATTTGCAAATAAAGTGTTAATTAGACTCTTTATTAAAAAAAATTATAAATGCATTCATTGGATTTAGTAATTATGTGGAAAGTGGACTCTCCACTATAGCCATTTGCCCAGCTGTATCCTACTCTGAATTAATTACTAAAATTTCCAGAGTTTTTATTTATTTATTTACTACATAAATTATACCTGCAATTTCTTCAAAATCAACCCATTCCCGGTCTCCTTGTTCATCATCACTTCTCTTCCGGCATATTCTTTGAATCTTTTTCTCTGTTTTTTCTTTCTGTTACCAATTTGTTTTCCAATTTTCGTTCGGTTGTTTTTTTTTCTCGGACAATTGTATAATTCGATAGAACTATATGACAATTGAGTTGTTGCCTGAACAATGGAGCCGGCGGCAAGTGTAATCGGAGGAATTCAGGATTGGAATTTCAACCCAATATCGAATTCAATTTGCTTTATCGTCTCTCGTGATATTTGTAATTTCTATGGCTGTCCGGATCGATTTGTATCGGCCGTTGATTCATTCTCTGCTGCCTGCGAAGCGTTTTCCGACCTTCATCCCGCTCTGTTTCTTTGACAAATTCTCATAGTTGAGCTAACCGATTAGGATTTTTTTTTCTTTTTTCTAAATTTTTGTCAGGAAACAAAATTGTGTTGTGTGTTATTGTAGTTTTTTATATTCTATTTTTTCTTATTGGAGATGAGTTCTAGGGCAGGGTGTTTTTATACAGATTCAATGCCAAAATTGAAGGGGGAACCCCCTTGTGAAAGTGATCCCACTGTTGCAGAAGTGTCTCCCAATAAACGATACATAAGGGTAAATATTCATTTCATTCTTTGTTGAATTGGAAGTAATTTCAGCTATACTTGAGCTCTTAGCGTTTGTATGTTTGACTTTGAAATGTCTGTTTGGACAAATCTGATGAGAATCCTATCGTAAATCGGTCTCTAAAAGAGCCTAATTCGTGCTATAATTTAGTTTTTATGATGATGATGATGTCAAAATATTGATCTTTGTTGGATTGATGGATGGATGGTTCTGTCTTAGCAAAGTCATGTACTATGTGATTCAGTGAACTAACTGACTGCTCGACTTCAGGTGGTCAAACTGGTTACTATCTGGTTATGATGACATTAATGGTTAACCTCTGGTTTTGACTGTTGTACAGTTTGGAAACTTTAGGGTGGCATGTTTTTCTTTCCTCTTTGTAATTTTTTGGAGCTCCTTAGTTATGTGTTATTCTATTACCTATCGGATTATAAGAGATGCCATCTTCATTTTTTTCCATTGTTTCTCTTCTTCAGTTTAATGAAATCTTGGGGAGAGGAGCATTCAAGATAGTGTATGGTTCCTCCTTCCTAGACCTATCTGTGGCTTTTTTTCCAAAATTAAAGTTGTAGTTCCTCTCACGCATTGTTTTGGTTTTCTTTTTCGATTTTCTTTCCCCTTATTGCAGCTTCTATTCCCTTTGAATTTATTTTTTTATTTTTTCGTTTTCTTTAGTTACAAGGGGTTTGATGAAGTTGATGGCATTGAAGTTGCTTGGAATCAAGTTAGCATGGATGATGCATTACAATGTCCACAAAACCTTCAAAGATTGTATTCTGAAGTTCATCTATTGAGGACTTTGAAACATGACAATGTCATGAAGTTATATGATTCTTGGGTGGATGATGAGAATAAAACAATAAACATGATCACCGAACTATTTACCTCCGGGAGTTTGAGAAGGTTAGCATTCCTTTTTTTCTTCTTTTCTAAGTTTCTCATACACTAATTTGTTTTATTTTCGGGGTTTTTAACTTATTGTCGGGTTGGATGTTTTTGACTTATTGTCAGGTGGGATTTTTTCATACACTACTCTATTTGATTTTCTCGTTTTTAACTTATTGTTGGGTGGAATTAGGTATCGAAAAAAGCACAAAAATGTAGACATGAAGGCTATAAAAAATTGGGCAAGACAAATCCTCCTCGGCTTAAACTATCTACATAGTCAAAATCCACCAATCATACATAGAGATTTGAAGTGTGACAACATCTTTGTGAATGGAAATCATGGAGAAGTTAAAATTGGAGATTTAGGCCTAGCCACAGTGATGCTTCAACCAACCGCCCGAAGTGTTATAGGTAATTGTTTGCTTTTGCTATGAACTGTTATTATCATTATTATATGGTGAATTTTCATATACTAAAAAATTTGATTATGTAGGTACTCCAGAGTTCATGGCTCCTGAGCTCTACGATGAAGAGTACAATGAACTTGTCGACATATATTCTTTTGGCATGTGTTTGCTGGAGCTAGTAACTTGTGAATACCCGTATAGTGAGTGCAAAAATCAAGCTCAGATCTACAAGAAAGTCACTTTAGTAAGTTTACAGACTCTAAAATGTTATTAGTTTTGGATGTGTATTTGTGTACTCTTTTTCTTTAAAAAGTTAATTTTATTTTTTATTTATTCACTAGTCGTAAAACTCATGCTATATTTTTTTTTTTTTTGAATTTCAGGGCATAAAGCCAGCTGCACTTGGTAAAGTACAAGACATCCAAGTGAAGGAGCTGATAGATAAGTGTTTGGCCTTGGCATCCCAGAGGCCAAATGCCGCAGAGCTTTTAAAAGATTCTTTTCTCTCATGTGAAACTCCAAAGGATTGTCCCTCTGTCAACCATATGCAATCAGCTAATTCTACACCCAAGTTGATGAACAACACCACATATGATGGTGACTCTCGACCAATGGATGTAGAACCGACTCCTAAGGATGGTTTGAGTGATGCTAGTGAAGAAAGCAACTTTAGAACATGTGTTTCACCCTTAGAATTGCTTAAATGTAATGGGAGAAATGAATTTACTTTAAGAGGGGAAAAACGTGACGATTGCTCAATTTCACTGACACTGCGAATTGCCGACTTTTATGGTAAGGGATTTTGAGTTGTTTAATTTGCAATTTTTTTTTATATATGATGACAATATGTTCATTCCAGTATGTTTGTTTTGGGCGACAGGACGAGTTAGGAATATTCACTTTCTGTTTTATCTGTATGCTGACACGGCAACGTCCATAGCACGTGAAATGGTTGAACAACTTGGTTTGCTAAGTGAAGATGTGGTTATCATTGCTGATTTGATTGATAGTCTTATTTCGAGTATTGTACCTAAGTGGGAACCCTCACTCGAAAGCTTGGACCAGGTAAACACTTTTGAGCAACTCTCTTCCAGCTGCACCATGGAACACGAATCTAATAGCATAACTAGGTGCGAACTTACTCAACAAGATGTTTCAAATGAATTCATTTCTGTTGAGAAAGTTGACTGTGAACAAGAATTATGTACACATGAAGCAAGTTCTGTTTTAGGTGATAGGGAAGATAAAGATTTCAGGGTGTTTGACTTTAGTGTTCTCCAAACCTGTATGGATCCAAAAAAGTATGCCATTGATCTTTCTTATGGTACCATTAAAGAATCTTTAACTAGCAATTGCTCAAAGAAATCTGGATGTGAATGTTTAATGAATTCAGTGTTGTCCTATATGGACAATGGCCATGGCGGCGATGTAATGATGTCTTCTGCTAGTGGGATATGCTCTAGTTTTTCTTCTTCAGTATGTTTGAATGAATTGGACAAAGAGAAAGATGAATGCACAGAAGAAGCAGAGTTGAAGCTCGAGCTCAATGCAATTGCGACACAATATGACCAGTGTTGCCATGAACTCTTAAGGATGAGAGAGGAAGCCCTGGAGAATGCTAAAAAACGGTGGAGTGCAAGAAAGAGGATGCATGTTTGAGTGAGCTATTGTTTCTTTTGTGATTGTTAGTGTGTTTTTACCTAATTTAATTTTTTGTTGAGTGTTTGCTATCCAAATCAATATATCTGGTAGCAATCTTTTGTTGTATATAACTAAGAATTATTCTCTCAATGTAATTCAAAATTGTTCCTTCTTTATGATATAATGTTTTAGTTTCTGTTGCACCAGCTAATTGCATTTCCATGGTGGTTGGGAGTTGAGACAATCCTCATGATGGCAGCCAAAACTCAGTGATCTTATTATAGCCATCCATGGTGCTAATTGATTTATTAAACGGCCATCCACTTTTGTGTAAAATTACATCTCCAAAGCCAGGAAATATCTATGTTTGTGTAGGATTACTTTACTTCTCCATAGACCAATGAAAATTCATTTCAACATGGCAAACGTAGTAGATTGATAGACATCGAAATGTTTGCAGGTCATAAATCTTCATTTTGAGTTATCAAAAGATGACTTTTCTGACTTGTAACTGACTACGATAATGACTCCAAAGTGTATAAACAATAACGTGCGCATGTTTCTTATTCAGTGTGAGCTCGAAAAGATGAAGTACGGAGGTTAACCTCATTATGTTCAAATGATCCTAAATTTGCTATCTAAAGACATTGATCTCAAAAAGAGGAAGAAGTGCGGAGGTTAGCATCACTATGTTCCGATGATCCTAAGTTAACCTCAACACGTGCCAATGATCCTTAATTTGCCAAGTCAGGACATTCACTAGGCTAACTATAGAGGAAAGAAACGTTCTCATCTCATATTGAATAGCCATTCAGAAGTAGTAAATGATAAAAGTAGGCAGAACCAGAACAATTGGTTGCAAGTAAATGCAGAGTTGGACTCTTGTAAATGATAAATTCCGTACATAAATTCTGTACATGAGGCACCGACACAGCGGACTATTCTGCAATTTTATTTAATTAACAAAGAACAACAGTACAAGTTCTGCTGCACATCGACAAACTATACAATACAATTTTGAGAAAATCAAAGGAAATATCCACATCAAACAATGAATCAACACCTTGTGATATTATCATAACTAACCCAATACATATATGCAACCATCCAGCCAGCGCCTCTCACAAAGAATTAATAAGACTAAACCACAGGCAAGGCAGGTCTTAACTAGACCTGCTACCAGTTCTCCTTGACAATCTTCGACTTTTCAAGGATAAATTTCCCTTCTTTGTACTTCTGCGTTTCTTCGTATGCTCGTACATATTTCCAGCCTAGCACCTCCTGACAGTCCGAACAACGTACATCAGCAACTGTGTGGAGACCGGTCAGGAGCTGCCTATCCTCACTAGGCCCCACGGTATAATTCATTGCATGAGAAAAGAGAAAGGCCCGGCCATTCCTTCCCTTAATTCAAAGAACAGGCAAAATAGAGTATTTGTTAGACATTCACATAAACAAGTCACACAATTCTTTGTGTCTCCTGAAAGGATTGATGGCAAGCTTAATAGAGTAAGCAGTAGTAGTAAAGCTCTTATCCTAAAGATTGGGTCTTGACAAGCAATCATTCAACATTTCGGGCCTTTCATGTTCCCAACAGAAAATTTCAGGTGAAGATGATTGCCGGGAAAATGCTTTCTGGTGAAGGGTATTATCTTCAATATTTTCTGATGTGGAAATCATCTGCATATTCTTAATGGGGTCATCATTCACGAGTACTAACTAAGAAATTTACATAAATACCGCGCCGGTCAGGTGTGAAATTTACAATCAAATGAGTCTTAATCCACCAATTTAACGTTAGGCATTAAGTGAATGAAGTCAAAGAACACATTCAAAACAAAGAAGATGGCATCTTAAGCTGCAATAAAGGATAGTCATTGTCAAGCATTATGGAAGCAGAGCTTTGTAACACAGGTTGAAATAACAAATAAGATTATGGGAAAGAGGCAATTCTCAATTGTATTTGACCCGAAAAAAAGGGGAAAGAACAAATATTACCTGAAATGCTTTAGAAATGACATCATCATGTAGTGCCACTTGATTCCTACACTTGCAGCAGCAATACAATCTCGGTCCACTCAACTCAGCCATTGAAGTGAACAAAATGAAGAGGGCTACTACTACTACTACAAGAAGCACCTACAACCAATAACCCCAAATAGCACAAAAGAGGGGGAATTGAACAATTTAGACAGCAGATAGAAAAAAATGATAATGATAATAATAATTGAACAGAAATGCCAAAAGAACAGAAATAAAGAAAAGTGGTTACATTTAAACAGGAGGTTGGATCAAAAGCCCCCACCAAAACCCCATAATATTCTTAACCTGTAGCCCTCTTTTCGGATATATGTCAACAACAAACAAGATAACCTTCAAGACCCAACGAATTCAAAGACAATTGATGGTAATTAGGCTAATAATGTTGATGAAAAATAACTAAGTGAAGTGAGAAAAATGACAATTAGGAAAAGAAAGTGATGGGGACAGAACGAAAGATAAAGAAAACCAAACAAAAATAACACAAAATCATAGTCCCTGAAATGAAACCCAAAAAGAAAAACCCCAGAAAAATAAACAGAATACCCAATTGAATTCAGTCTGATTAGCCACTAAAAGATGAACATTCTTCCTTTCAAAGTTTAAGACATACTCCCAAGAACTTAAGGGTGCTGATCAAGGAGGATTCTAGTAATCAAACTAACCTGGCCATCTTCTAACGCTGATTGAGAACAAGTTTGAAGCCCTGAAGAACAATGAAAAAGATCGATAAAAAGGGGATGGCTTTGTTGAGGGGTTTTGGGGAACAGTTGAGATGTTTGATGAGACTTCTGTTTTTGACGAGTCGCACAGTCGCACGGCAAAAATAAATAAATGAAAGGCATTTTCGATCTACAGTTCTTTTCTCTTTAAATAGTTACTTCTTTTTCTTTTTTTTGTTTATAAGTAGATTATCTTATTTTGGCCTGTTTCGTCTGTGTTTTAAGAAACTGGTCTATTGTTTTGTTTTTTTAGTATGCATTTTTAGGTGTTTTTCATTGAAAAAAGTGTATTAAAAATGTAAAAAAGTATGTTAGTATAGGTAGCATTCTCTCCAAGTATTCTCATTTTTCCTTTATCTCAAATTCTTCTCTCTGTAAAACATCATTCAATAAATATATCTTCCAGTTTGAGCATAGAAGAAGCCTTTAAAGGTAATATTTTCCTTTAAGTTTGTTTTAATTTATAGTTTGAAATCTCGACAATGTCTGAGTAAATCTTTGTCTGAATCAACATTTGGCTTTTGTTTACATAAATTATACATGGAATTTATCTCTTCTTCTCTTTTAATTAAAATACGATGATTTGAGATTGGTTCCAATCCAGGTTCGATCGGAAAACTCAACAATAAGTGCGTTGGGTGGAAAAGTACATTATGATGAATTGTTTTAGGGAAAAGAGCCACATGATGCACATAAGTTGTGAATTCAGACAGGCTTGAGAGTTAGGTGAAACTTTTCCATGCATCTCGATTATTGATATTTTAATTAAGGATGGATAGAGATTTTGATCTGTGTGGTGACATGGCGTAGCTCCGGATGAATGGTATCGGCCAGGTGGTGGTTTGGATTGGCTGGTTTCCTTGCTCGTCTGTTTGCACAGTCTTCGGCTAAGATAAGCTTGCCAGGCCCCAACCCCACAATTTGGCGTGGGGTTGGGGCTGGCGATGCTTATCTTAGCCGGTAAGACTGTGCAAACAGACGAGCTGCGAAACCAGCCGGAATCCAAACCACCACCCTGGCCGATACCATTCATCCGGAGCTATGCCATGTCACCAACACAGATCAAAATCTCTATCCATCCTTAATTAAAATATCAATAATCGAGATGCATGGAAAAGTTTCACCCAACTCTCAAGCTGTCTGAATTCACAACTTATGTGCATCATGTGGCCTCTTTTCCCTAAAACAATTCATCATAATGTACTTTTCCACCTAACGCACTTATTGTTGAGTTTTCCGATGAACTCGGATTGGAACCAATCTCAAATCATCGTATTTTAATTAAAAGAGAAGAAGGAGATAGAGCTTCCATGTATAATTTATGTAAACAAAAGCCAAATGTTTGATTCGAGAAAGGATTTACTCGTACATTGTCCGAGTACTTCAAACTATAAATTAAAACAAACTTAAAGGAAAATATTACCTTTAAAGGCTTCTTCTATGCTTCAAACTTGGAAGATATATTTATTGAATGATGTTTTACAGGAGAGAGAGATTTTGGATAAAGGAGAAGAAATGAGAGAATACTGGAGAGAATGCTTCTCTCCACAAGAACTTCTACATTCTATTTATAGACAAAGTGTCTAACTACTATTCTACAAAAGTTAAAACTACTATTGTACAAAAATTATTAACTTTTGTCATTATTTGACATGGTTTTCTTCAGATTTGACTAAAGGTGGTGGTCTATTTGTACAAAATTTCAAAAGTAGATTCCTACTTTTGTCAAAAATTCAAAAGTAGATTCCTACTTTGGTCACTTCATTCTTTTTCTTTTCCTTTTCTTGATTGAGTGATTCTTGGATCTGTTGTATGATTTTGATGAATTCATCGTGATCGTCATCTTTTTCTCGTGATTGAGATTCTCCGCCAATATTGCAAACGAATTTTCTTCATTTGAAGTTATGCTCTTCATCGAAACATCGATTTTTCGAAATATTATCATTGTCGAGATTCTTTAAATTTCTCATGAGATCTGCTTTAACTTCTTTCATATAGGCGAGATATTATTTCTTCCTTATTAATTGCTCCTTCTTGAAGTGAATCCGCTTTGTTATGTGTTTAAACGGACTTTCTTCATCCGGGTTTGCTTTAAGTCGTTCCTTTTCTTGAGTATATTCCTTGATTTTCTGGGTAATTTCGTCCAAAGAAATCTTGTCCTTCTATTCTTTTGGTAGTGTGATTCACCTTTGTTAATTTGTCCCAAAATTTGGTGTAATATGTCTTATAAAGACACGGAATTTGAAATTCATTGAATCCCACCTCGGGGACCCATTTATAAATCCAAGGAATTGAGAATTCAATAAAGAAGTATAACAGAGTGATTTTCCTGGAGCACGAGATATGATCGTGTTGAAGTTTATCAATGATAGGAGAGGATTTTAACCATTGATAATATAATTTCGAAAAATTATCGGCAAAATTTTTTGTTGGGCCATATAATGCCCACCACCGAATAAACCAGTTGGGTATGGGAGAAGAATACACATGTGAGCATATTTTTATGAACCAAGTATGCTTTTTCTGGGTTTTCATAATAAAAGTTTTGTAAAAACTTTGGATATAATCCCAATAAGTAAATTTCAAAGGAGGAGAAGTAGGAGTATTACGTACTTCTCTTTCGAAAGGGTTGAAATTCCCATTCTTCGAAGATAAAATCTTTTTGATAATAATTTTTGAGAAGTTATAAACTTCAATTGTAGTCCGATTAGACTGGAAATGTGTTATTTCACATGTTTGTTTGAGAATATTCTCATAATAATTTAAGGTTTGTATGACTCACCCGGTATCGTTACCCTTTCGCTAGATATCTCCGGAATATTACCCATGGATCATCTTTCCACCGAATATCGCGTTTTCAAGAAGGAATATTACCTCCTTTGTGGATCCTTTTTCATATGACCGGATATCATCCTGGTCGATTATCACTTACTTTGGCAAAAAGGTATCACTTTGTTGCTCTTGGATTTGGTCCATAATCTGCTTATATAATGCGAATCTTTCGAATAAAATCCATTATTTGGACCAATTTCGCATTTGATGAGGAGGATTCCTCCGAGATTTTGAAAAATCAGCAGACTATTAGCTTTTATTCCCATGTTGTATTACGGGGTTTATTGTTCTTCCTCCACGACCTCTATAAGGGTGCGTCCTCGATCTGGTGGATACATAATCCTGAAAATTAGAGAATTATTAATGATAATTTGGCTTTACAATAATTCAACTTTTCTTCACTTTCATTAATCTTCCAGTGAAGTCTTCTATCATGTCATAGACAAATTCAAGGTCTTCAAACAGATATTATCTGTTGTGGTGAAGTAAATTCATCAAAGACAATCAAGAATTGTATTACGAACTCGTAAAAAGTGATTTAGTCTATGCTTCGCAAAAATATATTCCGTTCTACAATGCCTATATTCAGCAACAATCTTATTATACGCAATATGTATTACGGATAGGGGGTTAAGATAATCAATTTGTGGCCACTCCATCCCGCAAATATTCACGTGATAAAAATCGTAAGGAATTATCACTACCTTTTTATATAAAATTTCAAAATCAAAAGGGGCTAAATTAGCTCGCCATCGAGCATATATTTGCTTTGAAGAATCATGCTTATAATCTTTATAAATCATGTGTTTAACAGCAAGTGCATCAGTGTGAATGACAAACGACTGATTAAATAAATCATCTTGGAATTTTAATACACATTTTACAATAGCAAGAAATTCTTGTGCAACGATTGCATATTTCTTTTGAGGTTCGTCCATTTTCCGAATGATATCTAATAAGATATTCATTATTATCATGAGGGTTAACTGTTTCAAGATTCCACCGAATCCTATGCTACTAGCATCGCTTTCTATTATCTTTTTCCAATTTGGATTTGCTAATGTTAAACATGGTAGAGTTTTTACCTTTTCTTTTATTTGCTTAACTAATTGAGTATGCTTTTCATTCAATCAAATTTAATTGATTTTTAAGCAAATCATATAGAATTGCTAAATCTTTCGTAAATTCTTATAGTATGGTGAAATATAATTCAAACTTCCTAGAAATCTCGGAGTTGAATTTTCTCAGAAAATATCGGGAAATTTAGAAGAAAATTCAATTGATCGTTGAATAGGGTTATTTTCCCTTGACTTATTTGATGACCAAGAAATCTTATATTATGTTGAAACAAAAGCATCTTTGGTTTAGATATTACTAATCCATTTCGTAAAATAACATCCTTTAATATATTAAGATGTTTAAAATGTTGTTCAATATTATCAGAGAATACTAAGATATCATCAATGTAAACAATTATAAAATCCATATAATGAATAAATATATCATTCATGATTTTCTGAAATTCAGAAGGAGCATTTTTTAATCCGAATGGCATCACATTCCATTCAAATTGTCCTATAGGCACATTAAAAGCAGTTCTATAAGTATGCTCAGGATTTATTTGAATCTTCCAATATCCAGATTTTAAATCGAATTTAGAAAATATGTTGGCATTATATAATTTTGATAATAAATCTTTTTTATTAGGTATAGGATATCTTATCCATTTTAAAACTTTATTAAGTGGCTTATAGTTTATTACTAATCTTGGGACGCCACGTTCTTTTTCAGCTGCATTATTAACATAAAATGCAGTACATGACCAGGGAGATTGTGAAGGTTTTATTAAACCCTTTTGAAGCAAAGAATGTAATTCTTCTTTACATAAATTCATATATACAGAATTCATTTGACATGGTCTTGCTTTAGTAGGAATATCCTTTTCATTAAAATTATCTTCATAAGGAGATTAACTAAATGTTTCTTTCTATTCCAAAAGCATTTGGGTGATCAGCACATACCGATTCTTGAAATTGTATTGTAATATGTTTTATTTTTCTTGTAATTTAGTATTACTCAGAATTCGGTATTGATAAATTCATAATTTCATTTTTAATGAAAAATAATTGTTTTTCTTTAGCTTCTATTAATGACCTAATAGACCTTGTTATAGGGTCTGAGACAAACTGGAAATTTATTGATTTATCTTTATAGGTTCCTGTAAATCCTTGAAAATTAACTTCTTTAAGTGGATATAACATACATAAAAATGGA